TTATCATTTTAGTTTTATTATCATTGTTATGTACATGCTGTTTTTACTTGTATGTAGTTTAATGCATTTTGTACAGTTTTTCCCCTTTTTTCTCCTATAATTCTTGTTAATATAATTTATAAACCTGTAATTCAGCATTCTCTGCAAGAGGTTTGAATAAACGTTATTATTATTATTATTATTATTATTATTATCATTATTATAGGCAAATAATGTGTTTCCTCTCTTCTTAACTGAAGTGACCTTGACCTTAATCCTTTGATCTGTGACTGTAATCTGAAATGGATGGTGAAATGGATTGCAAACCGTAAAAAGTCTGTGAAAGGCACATGTGAAGAACCTTTCAAGTTGAGGGACAAAAAAATCTCAAGTGTTAACAAGAAAGAGATGAAATGTGGTGGTAAGGTGTTTTTTTAATTTTGAATCAGTCAGACATGCACTTTGTTTGAGGGCAGTCTTGAAAATTACATGCCCAAGAAGGATACATTATTTTTTTTTAAGTCTTTGCTGAAAGATGAACCTTGAAGGCATATTGTGCCCTTAAGTATTTTTTTTTTTTTTTACCAAAATATAGTTGTTTTTTCCCCCAATGCTGGAGGCAACTGACAGTTGTAGTTGTAACTCAGAAGTAAGAATTTAATAATTTTTTACACAATTGACAGCATTGTTCCTATTAATTTTTACTTATAGAGAAACTTGAGTTGAATGGCAGGTCATTTGGTCCGCAAGGAGATCAAATTGCTTTCAAGGGTGACAGTTACTCCTTTGAATGTAACTCGTCTTGGATTCCAGGCACACAGATCAGTTGGTACAAGAATGATAAACCAGTCACTAAAGACGAACGGATAAGCATTGATTTGAAGCATGACCATGACAAACGATTACTTTCATCTGTTTTGGACATTAAACAGCTTGCTGTGAAAGATGGTGGCCATTACAGCTGTCATGTTACAAATAAAGGAGGCTATCGACTTTATTGGACATCACATCTCTCGATAATTCCATCTGATGCAAAATTCTGCCGAGCAGTTAGCACAGAAACTGAACGGGGTACTTTTCACTGGCATCATACAGCTGCTGGGGGTATTGCTTTCTTGCCATGCCCTGTTGGTGTAATCAGCAGCTTGTTAGATCAAAGGAGCAATGAAATCATGGCTAGAAGGAATTGCTCAATAGAAGGTGCCTGGATGCCTGTAGAGGCACAGCAATGTGCTCATGCTAGTGAAATAACTCGTGCTTTATATGATCTGAAACAGGTAAAGTAGTGGTTAGAGAATGTTGTCATGTTAAATGTCTGTGCAGTTATGCAGTTATACAGGATACCTTTTTAGTCTGTTGAGGGAATTTTTCAGCAAACAAGCCAATAGAGTCATTTGAGTACTTGTGGCACTTATCTTTTGTGGCAACCATGCATTGTGGAGCACCTAGAGTTGTCGGTAGAACCATTCCAAGAACTACTGCCTGTATTTCTAAATTAAATCAAGCAATATTCTAGTCTTTTTGTGTGGGCATACTTCAGGGTGATCGACAAAACAGTTACCCTCAGTCCATGGATTACCCAAATGTGCTACCCTAAAATGGACCAACCCTAGCATTGCTTTCATTACTCATTGAAAATAGGATTTTGTAGGGTCAGTCCATTTTAGGGTAGTCTATCCAAGTAGTCCATGGACTGGGGGTCAGTGTTTTTTCCATCACCCATACTTCAGACTTAACTGGTTATTTTTCCTTGGGAAGGGCCTCATACTTTTAGCTGTTAGACAAATAAGAAAGTAATGCAGCTAGTTTTTGAAAATCGAACCATTTTCTTATGACAACGCTATTTGTATCTCCGTTGCACCCTTTTAATATGAAGAAAAGAAGATACAGAAGGAGCAAAGAAGATGCTAGACATTTTGTTTCACTTACTTCATTTTGAAAGAAATTGACAGCTCTGAGTCTGCGTGTAACCTGTTGGCAAAGTAAAGTCAGCACAGGAAAATAATTTGAACTACAAATTGTAGAAGTAGATTTGAACAGAGCAGGGAAAGCTCTTTCTTTCAGTAGAAATCGGTACTAATATGAGTAAAAAATGTTTCTATATTTTTTTTGTTTTATTTCTACTTTGATTAGCGAACAGTTAATGAGACAACAGTTGAATCAGTCAGTCGGAATTTACTGAACATATCAAGAAGAGCAAAAGAATATAATGATCCTTTGGATGTTGTATATACTGCTGACATTGTAAAGAAATTGGCGCAAGTCATTGGAGATGAAAAAGTAAGGAGCGTGTGGGTTCCTATCAGCTTTCCAAGGTCACCCTTCTAATGCCTTCTACACTTAGTCTTTTGTTTTCACTTTCCCTGTAGTGTTTCATCAATTCTCTATAATTTGTATAATTGCCCATTTTATAGGTGTGTGCTTAGTTTAAAAGCCCTTGATTAAGAGTAAGCCAGAGAGTGGCCCTTGTCTGATAGATGCTTCTAACTGTAGTTAGAGCAATAACAGAGTACTCGTTAATAACATCTGAAAAGCGCAATGGTTTGTATCAGAAAAGGGTCACATTTAGCCTCTCTCCTATTCAAATGCTCGGCAACTTGTCACACAGCTATAAAATTTGAAGGACCCCAGTTGAGGTGATGATTGGTCACGAAGAAAGTCATGATTATTCTTGTCCAGGTGATTATTGATGTAGAATTGCTTTGATTAATGGAGTATCATGTGGTATATTTGTACTGTTCCTCTACATGATGTGATGATAAACATAAAGGGCTAAATGTACAAATTTTCCTTCTTTTGGTTTGTTGATCTTTCTGAGAAGAAATTTTATGACACATCAACACCGGGAACAAAAACATAATGTTTGAACAATACACTTATGACGAAAGTATTTACCAGGCGCAATGACCTACACACACGCACACACACGCACGCACGCACACACACGCACGCACACACACGCACTGTATATATGTACACATGTATGCTTTTGCCATGGTACTGATACACAGGTCTGTTGCATGTTATAAATTGAATATGTATTTTACTTTGTTTTGTATCACAGCTGGGTGGAAATTTAGTTTCAACCATCAGTAACATGATGGACGTTCATACATCATTGTTGCAGGAAGCTCAAAGGAAGTCGAAGTCTTGTTCAAGGTTTGTGTTCTTAAATTGCGTTATACCGTGTACATAGCCAGACTAAGCTAAGCCAAATAATACAAAGTAAGTTGGTTTTTTCAACAGAGTTGATAAATGTAAATTGGCCACCCTGAAGAGTTTAAGAGCTGACCTTTAGAGTGTTAGCCCTTCGTCACAGCGAATGAAGGAATTGTGGGAGTTGTGTGTTTATATGCAAAAAGTGGAGCTGCGCTATTGGTAGGAACATGGTGACGAATAAAAAAAAAGAATAAATTAGTTAAAAGAAAAGCATTCGTTGATACCGTGGGGATCACAAACGCCGAATTGAAATTTTGTTTCATAGTTCAGCGGCTTTCCGAACTACCTAAATTTAAGGAAAGGCCGCAGACTGCCATATGCTGCTTAGAACGATTAGGCAGATTAAGTTGGTCAGCGACTGGTTTGGATGCGTCCTTGTCATTCCTCTCTGCGTCGCAAAGGTGTTGTCGGAATCGGTTACCTATTCGTCTTCCTGTTTCGCCAATGTATATCTTTTTGACATAGGTGGTGGTGCACGTGGAGTAATCAGTAATCTTAATAGATCGTTTGAGTCCCGATAATTTCTAAACGTTACGAGTGAAAGGACAAGTCTTGGAAGTTTTGAAAGTCTTTCACTCTGAGAAATCCGTCCTAAGTAAAGGCTTGGCAACCCAAAATCCCTCCATTCGCTCTGACGAAGGCCTAACGCTCGAAATGTCAGCTTTTAAA